GTTCAAATGTGATTGCGGCTTCGAATGCGAAGACCGTGTTCATGTAGTCGAGGAATGTCCGTGGTACAAGAGGGAGAGGGAAGTGTACGTGACTGAGCTGGGAAAAGTACATGGAACGTACAGGGAGATGTTTGAGGCATGGAATAGAGAGGAAAGGACGGTAGCTGTACTGGGGCATAGGAGGTGGGTTGAAAAGGCGGGAAGGGATATCGTTAGGATAGACAGACTAGGGAAGACATTTTTGAGCCACCTTTGGCAAAGTAGAAAGGAACGATTGGCCATCGGTGATCGGTCCTGTGGGAACAATGCTCCGTCTTCTCGAGGACGCGTGGTCAATGGTCTAACCGCTAAGGCATGCAAAACATAAGAGTATGCCCCGCCCCCCCTCCTGCACGCGCAGGGATCGTGCGAGGTGGTCAAATCGTTCCGCTTGGAACACCCTGGGACGTCTTGCGTCGAGATCCGGAGGGACCAGAAGCTGTTCGTTTCTGGAGGTTGGGACCACAGGTAGGCGATACACGAGGGGCAGACTTTCGGCTGGGTGCTGTTCCAAAAAGTGCAGGCCGTATAGAAGCCGAACGGCGTTTGGGGGACTGGGACTGCAGGCCGGCGATGAATGCGCTAGAGAGTAGTGTGCACCGTGCATGCGGGGTAGCACGCGCATGTCCCCCCCCCTCCCCAACGACCGGAGTTCAAACAGGCCGCCGGTTCAACGAAGTGCTCGAATGGTAGTTCTTCCTGCAAGTGCAGATTGCCACGTTTGTGGCGATTGATGAGATTTGAGTTTTTTGGGGTCGTTGCCTTCAATAATTTTATTTCCTTCTTGGGGAGGGGTTCTCGAGTACTTGTCATCGTTAACGGGACTAATGAATGCACCCGTTATGGTGGGAGAGGGGAGGAACATTAACAGTTCCGGCAACGTTGGTCAGTAGCCCAAGATGAAGGGTTAGCTGGCAAGAAACCTTGGGGTTTGTCCAGAATAGATAGAGGGAGAGACAGAGAGAGAGAGGACCAGCACCCCCATCATGTCTATGCCCCGCCCCCGAACCGAGAACACGCGAACGTACCGTGGACTGCGTGTTTGTTGTATCTTCATCTTGTGCCTACCCTCAACCAACCGAACCGCAGGGTACGAGCCTTCAGCTGGAAGACCCCGCGCCCCCTGGCGGTGCTCAGGTCTCACGAGAAGAACGTTCACACCGTCGCCTACAGTCCCCGGATAGGCGGGCTGGTGTCCGGCTCAGGGGACTCGAGGGTTGCCGTGTGGGAGCTGTATCCCGAGAGGAATCGCGGGGGCGGAGGCAGAGGCGGGGGGGACGACGCCATGAGAGATAGCAGGAGATGATGCGTCGCGACCTGTACGGAATCAGGCGCTGGTTAGAGTGGGTCACGAACGGTGCAACCAGTTTCAGTTGCAGACGGTGGACACAATTGGTGATGTTAACGGCTTCCCCTGAGCGGTTTTGTCGTCTGTTCACGAGCAGAAGAACCGTGCTATGTTTTTTAATAGGGGCACGAGGGATACACATCGTTTCGCACAGGGGTAGCTCGCCACGTCAAGTGCTGTGCGTGGCGGCAGACAGCGATGCCCATGCGCGAAAAAGTCCACCCGGGTTATTTGCTTAAACCGTGATTATGTAATAATGCACTTGAAGCTGTTGAGACATGAAGACAACAGTCAAAAGCTTGCCGCTCATGCAGGCAGCTTCGTGTGGGGCTCGACGGACTAACGTTTTCCCCCGTGCACTGTGCAAATACATCAGTGACGAACAATCGCATAAAAACACCTTCCTCGGGCCTGCAGAGACGAGGAATGTCCCCCAAGGGAAGGTGGTCACGTCAAGGAACGAAAAACAAGGGCATCTTGAAGGTTCCTATCTGGACAAGAGCTTCTTACCACACAAGGCGAAAAATTTCACCACACCAAAGTTGTCTTGCGAGGTGGCGCAAATGCAAGATGCAAAAGTGTCTCTCACTTCTTGGACCTTCCTTTCAAAACTTCAGTAGGCTAATGTCTCATGGTACTTCGCTTCACCTGTGAGCTAGTGACTGTGGAACTTTCAACCCATTCGTGTACTCCCTCCCATCTACAAGGCGGTGTCGGTCCTACAACATTTGAGCTTTCAACACGCAGTCTGAACTTAGCGGCACAATGCAGAGGCTTGACCTACGTACAATGGGCCTTGAATACTGCTGAATGTAAAACCTATTACCCACGAAACCCCAAACGAAACTGGCCGGCAACCTGGCTTGCTCTCCCTCGTCCACCCCTGACAAAAAAGATGCAACACCCTGAGAAAAAAGGTCCTGTGAAAGCAACAAGGAAAGGAATCCAATAGGCGGTATATTGGTGCCGACGATTCCGGGCAGAAAATGGAATTACGAGACCAGAGACAACCACCCACGCTGGGCACAACATGAACTACTCTCACAGTGGCGGGCAGCAGTGCATATGTTGCCTCGTCTCGTTTGCAACCTTGTCAAGATTATGGTATATCTACACATCAGACGTTCTCCCAGTCGTAGCCTCACCACAGAAAGCGACAGACGCTGCTGTGGTACTCTGCATATCCTTAATCGCGCCAGCCCCGCTTCTTGAAACCTTGTTAGGGTGACTACAGAAGGATAGCAGACAGACTTTCCTTGCAGCAAGCATGGTTTCTAGGCTACAGAAGGACAGCAGACAGACTCTCATTGCACGACGCTTTGTGACCTAGAAGAGATGTAGCAGCCGTGGGCGCAAAAGAGAAGCAACAACAATACAACAACAGCAATGCACCTGTCTCGTGTTCACGAGCCTTGCGGTTGGGGACTTATCAAATCACCAATAAACAAAGCCCCAAACCACGCGCTACGCGCGGCATAATAGGCCGTGAGACTGAACAACGTGAAGGTGAACGCGTTCACCAGGACCTGCTCCGCCGGGTAGAAGGAGTACGTCCCGGTGCTGATGGTATAGTGGTAGTAATGTCTCTTGACCCACGACACGAGCCCCATCCTGATGTTTGACCAATGCACAGAGACCCTAGACCCGATGAACTCTCTCCGGCAAGTCTCCGCGCCTGCGGCCTTTGTCGTCGCGAACTTCGCTCTCGGTCCAAGTTGGTGTAGATCTCCGAAGATCTCCAAAGATCTCCGAAGATCTCCGAAAAGCGGCTGCTCAAAACCCAGGCCGTCGCCGCCTGTCCCTGTTGCCCCTTGCTCTATCCGTTCCACTTAATCGTTGGAGCACAGGAAACACCTTCCTCTCTTGCCTGTAACAAAATTGACCTTTGACGTGACGCTGCTGTCGTGCAGATACGCGGAAGAGAAAGAGAGAGCCCGTGGCGTGTAGCGTGGAAGGGAGAAGCGTTTTCAAAAATCCTGCCCAACCAATTAATTTTCCACCAGTTTGATCAGGAGCTGCGTCTCCTTCTTCGCCTCCTTCGACGTGAGGTGAACAACGCCCAAAGTTTGTCTCCCAGGGGATAATATTGCGAGCGTACGGCACTGTCTGTGGCGCTGGGCGTGGTGAGTGCAGTGTGGTGTTCTGCACGGACAATTGTCAAAGGCACCGCGGAATACCTCAAGGGGTACCCAGCGGGGGGCTCGTGTCTCGTGTCGCGTCTTCGGTGAAGTAACATAAATACACAGAAAGCCTACCCATTCGAGATATGACCACAGTCGAACGGGATGTCTTGAAGTCTTTACAGCGAATGGAGGGAAACCGGCTGGGTACTGGGCTTATTTGGAGTCTATTTAAGCCTATACATACACTGAAAATTTCCTCATCATCAGTGATGCCAGCAGGTAGGTGCAAATCACAAAATCGCTGTATGTAGACCAAAGTCTAAGTACAAATACCACAAGACATCTCCCTCGTATTTTTCTCGATCTGCGGGGTCAACGACAAAAATATCGGGGAGAAACCCTCCTATATGTCGTGTGTTGTAAAATTATGCCTTGTTTTACAGAACAATTGCACCGCACTCAAGCACTCATAACTTGTCACATTGTTCGACGTTGTGGAGAGTGAATAAATCATGTGCATACGGACATCGAGAGAAGGAAACAGCAAAATCCCAATCACGTTCAAGACTACTGTAGCACTGCACAGCGGGAGCAAGAGAGAGAGGAGAGAGAGGAAGAGACCGGCCGGGGGCGGGAGAACTCTCAAAATCTCTGAGCCATTTCCCCCCAAAGGCCGATCGATCTGGAACCACAACGCATAATAATAGGTTTCGCCGAGCAGGAGGATCGCCACCTGATTCGTCGCGTTTTAACCTTTTTGGTTCTGTACCAGATACCGATATACATAGATAGGCACGAACACCGCCTATCTATCTGCGTTTTACCGACGAGAAGTTGTTCGAAATACCATATTTTTAGTATGCATACGAACCACAAGTACAAGCTTCGCGTCCACCCATCCATGAGGTACCTTGGATTGAGAACAGAACGCCGTGGGCGTTGATTTTCGTTTTCAATTAATCAGCATTATCACCTCTGTCTTCGGAACAACATGTCGACAAACCACCTCATAGGCACAGCCAACCCACCCGGGAATGAAGCACACGTTCGGAACATCATGCCGACCGTGACCTGCAACCTACATAGCAGCATAATCAATCGTGTACAGCAGTTACGAAGTAGAGTCCTAGGTGTGCAGCAGCGGCGGCATAATCTATGTTGTGGGAGGGAATCCCAGTCCACCCACCACATCACTCCAAAGATCGGGTGTTACCAACCGCCCAGGAGTAAACGAACACACGAGAACTTGGGAACGATATTGACTGACCTCCAATCTGAAACCGCATAAATTTAGAATTTTGGCATGATACACAAGCCAGGATGGCTGAACGGCAGCACCAAAAACCTTAACCATTAACGCAAACCCCGGGTTGAGGACAACAACATCAAACACACACGTACTCCGACCAGTGTTTATTTCCTGTTGCTTCAGGGAAGATGGGCGGCGGCAAAAACAGGTGTGCGATTGTCGGTGAGACGGGCGGAGCAAAAAAAAAGGCAACATCCTTCACACATACAATCAAATCAAGGGCAACACGCAGGTATGAATGAAATACCCCAGACCCAGTTTGCTTCCAGTTGGCGTAGTGTACTTACGACTTTCGGCCACAGGCCCGGAAGTTTGAGTTATGGTCCAGGTGGCAAAGCCCCGGTACAGAATTTTTCCCATCCTTACACGCTCTGTGTACACGCTGCAACACCGTCTTCAAGCCAGTAGGAGTCTGATCTACTTTGTCTTGTCAGTCCTGGCATGCCAAAACATTTCCTCAAAAACCGAGTACACCAGGTCCCGCTCTACCTCCAAAAGACCCCGGACAAATCACCACGGGCAACTGGGAAAAATGGCTAAAAAGTTCACCCAAGCAACTGTCAAATGGGACGAAGGGCATGGAATAAAGCAGGCCAGCAAACAAACAAAAACTACACACGTAGAAAAAACATTTTTTAGCACGCATTGGGGGGGACACACCACCTGCTCGAACGAACACTGTCCCCTACCGCACCACACCACCCCACCCCACCCCACCCCACCCGCAAATAACAATAAAAAACGGCGCTTCATGAATTACTAAATGAGCTCGCTAGGCTACCGAACCGCCACCATTCTTTAACGTTGAGAATACTAACAAAAAAGGGTATAAGCTTTGCCTCGTTGTCTGATGATACACTTATTGATTGAGGTGCGCCAGCTTTGTCCTCTCACTCGATACAGTTCGACTAACTTGGGAAGCTGGCAAAACTTGATGGCGCAAGCAATAAAAAGAAGCAGGTGTTGCACGCAAGAAAGACGTGGCGGAATCGATGAAACTCGCGCACGGGAAAAAAACAGTGAAGGAGGTTACCACATCCGGCGTCGAGGAAGCAAACGCTCGACACACGTCGGGATAGATGAGGCTACCACCGACCTCCACAATCAAAACCAAACGCAAAACCAACGCCGAGGAGTCACAAAAGGACACAAATGTTGCTTGCAAAAACAAACCTCCAAAGAAACGCACGGCGGTGGCCAATCAACTTGTAGTGGCTTGTCCGGCGAGCAAGGGCCTACTACCCAACAGATTCCCCAAAAACCCAAAAAGAACAAAACAAAACAACCATTACCAAAGATCTTGGAATGGTTCGGCCACCGCCGCCGCCGCCGCCGCCTTCCTAGCTTTTCCGCCCGGCGGCGGGTCCCGACGCAACGACAAAGGGGGGCTCGGGCGGCACTTGATAGCGGTCCCGCCGTTGGCGACGTCGGCGCTACAACAGCCCACCCCGAAGTCGGCCTGACGACCACAGCCTCCGGTGGGCATCGCTGCCCCCGCCCTTACCCCTCCTCCGGTACTGGGCGCGGGGTTGGAGGCTAGCAGTCCCTCCAGGTGGGAGCAGAAGACTCTTAGCTGGGTGTTCTCTTCCAGGGACCGCGATAGCTTCTCGTCGAACTGGCGGATCAGGGAGGCTACCTCGGTCGACGGGTTGCTGGTGCCGCAGCCGCCGCCGCTGCTGCTGGTGCTGCTGCTGGTGCTGCTGCTGTTTGAACGAGAGGGAGCGAGCAGGAAAAGGATTGGCTGGTCATCGACAACAAAACACACGCACTCACACACACATTGTTCAGCCGGTTAGCGCGGTCGATGCCAACTGAGAAAACACACACACACACACGCCTCCCCCGCAAACCTTTTCACGGGGGTCCCACCGAGATCATAGCATTTACGGAACGTTTTCTGTTTTCAGCCGCACTGAAAGTGACGTCGTTTGGTTAGTCAGACGACCAGCGCCGTCGACGCCAACAATGCAGACAGACTCGGACACATTTCTTGCTCTTCGTTGAGCGACCCCCGGCCGAACGTCGTCGGTTTCATCGCCCTGACACACCGCAACGACACCAGCACAGCAATCGCAGTACAACCCAACCCGCCCTACCTCGATTCAACACCAAGCGGTCCACCACCACCAGCTGATGCGGGCTTGCCGCCGCAGCCCTGACCCCCCCCGCCGCCGCCGCCGCCGGAAACCATCTTCTCGCGCGCGTCCCTGACAAGCCTCAAGATCTCCGCTTCCTGCTTCTCTTGGCCCACCCTGGCGTAGTGCGCGAACCAGTCGGGGTAAGGCTGCTTCGGCTGCTGTTGCCCGTCGTCGTTGCCAGCCATGGGCGCGCCACCGCCGCTCCCGTGGGCCTGCTCGTCGCATGGACGAACAACGCCTCCATTGAAGACACCGACACCGACACGGCCACCACCGAGGATGCCCTTGTCCACGTCGAGGGGCGGGGAAGAAGGGGTGGCGGTGGCGGTTTCTTCCGCCTCGGTTGTGGCCACCGCCGCCGCCGCCGTAGCCGCGGCAGACGCAGCTTCGAGCTCGGCCGCCCTCGCCTCCGCCTGCTTGCGCTTGCTGGTTTCCAGCCGGAGCATGGACAACAAGGAGGCCGCCACGTCTTCCCTGACCTTGCTGCTGCTGCTGCTGCTGCTGCTGCTGCTGTTGTTGCTGCCCTTGACTATCGCCGTTGCGTCCGCCGGCGGCGGCCCGTTAATGCTGTCGACACCGCCACCATCGTCACCGCCACTGACCACGTGCGGCGGCCGTGCTGCCGCCGCCGCGGTCGAACTCACCCTCCACGTCGTGGACCCGCTGTCTCCCGCCAGCTCGCCGAACAGGACGGTGGGCGTGGGCGGGGAGAGGACCTCGCTCTGGTGTCCACCGCCTCTTCGAGTGACCGTGGTCACCGCGAGGTCGTCGTAGTTGTAGTCGCTGGCGGCGTCGACATCCTCCGTCATCATTCCTAACCCTCGTCCCCCTACCCTCGACCGCAGGCGTGTGGCGGAGAACAGCTCCGGCCTGGTAACGTCTAGGTCCGGCGTCTCCACGCCGCTGTCATGCCGGCTCCGTATCGGCGAAGTCGGCGGCGTCGCGGGGAACGCAGCTGGCTGCGGGGGCGCCGTCGCCGCCACCGCCGAAGCAGCAGCAGCAGCAGCAGGACCGCCGTCCCCACCACCGAGACCCGCCACGATAGACGTCGGCGACTCCGGGGTGGGCGTTTGCACCGTAGGACCTACTGCTACCTCTGGACTACACATGCTCCCAGTAGCACCGCCGCCGCCGCCGTACGCCGGGAACGGGGGGTGCGAGTGCGGGCGGAGTTTCGGGGTCGGGTCAGGGGTGTGCATCGAATGGTCCACCGGGTACGGCGCCTGCTGCTGCTGCTGTTGCTGCTTCTGTTGCGCCAGGGCGTTGTGTGACGCGGCCGCGGCGGCCACGGCGGAGCGCTCGTAGGCCAATACAGCGTGGACCGCGTCCACCTCCGCCAGGCTCTTCTCCAGCCAGAGCTCCGCGTGCCGCTGCCCCGCCCGAGACTCGCGCACCTCCGCCGTGATCTTCGAGACGTCCTGTAGTTGTTTCGCAGGTCCCCGCCGAGTTCCCGGTTTCCAGAACAAAAGCCGCGGATAACGAACGACACGAAAAAAAAAAAGAGGAAAGGAATCGGGGCAAGGTTTGGATGGGAGGGACGAATGGGCTTGTGGTAGAGGAAAGGAAGGGCTGGCGCAGAGCTATTAGTCAGCTGACTGTGCGTGAAGCTGTTGTTTACAGAAGTAACGTGGTTTCCGACATGTCCTAGTTTCTCGTGTCGTGGGTCGCTCCACCGTTTCAAATTTGTAGGCTGGAGGTGCGCGGGCCGGTGGCCGCGCTTCTCGCGTGGTGAACCGGTTCGGTTCGGCCGTGCACAGAAATCGAACCCTTGGTTTGTAGTGGTCCCTTAACAACCAAACATCTTCCCAATCAGATCGAAAAGACCCTTGGACCAACCCATCTGCGTGACAGCATCCCTCCATTCCACCACGGATATCGCGCATCGTTGCCAGTCAGATGGGAGATTGGCATCAACCTAAAGGATTGGACGAGGGGGTGAAGGGGTGAGGCAGCTCCGGAAGGTTACTACGTTCTACCGACAGAGGACATGCACCAATAGTTCAACAACGGAAGATATGTGCCCTTGGCCATGTTTACGAACTCTCGGGGCAAAACGTGAGTTCTAAAAACAGGTTGTTTTCAGGGTTGACGGAGACCAGAACGCTGTCGGCTTCTCGTGAACACTTCCTGTCTTTCTTTTCTTCTTGTCACTGACCTCGATGGAGGCAGCCGCACTGTCTTCCGCGCGAGCCGCCGCTTCCAGGGCGGCCTTGAGCCTTGTCTCGAGCACCCGCACCTCGCCGGACCGGGTCTCCGCCTTCTGCTCGGCCGTTTTCCTCGCGTCCCGCTCCTACGTCGCCACCGCCGGTGTAAGAGGGTTTATTCCGCCGTCGTTGGAGAGGCAATCGACGAGGACAGGCCAAGACCGTGGAGGGAAGGAGTGTAACGTCAACACGAATGGACATAGGAGCTACGAACAAACAAGCGAGTTAGAGGGCCCAGACAGGCAGACTCGCTATTCTTGCCCTAACACCCACGCCCGGCTATTGTCCAAACGTCGCGCCAGCTGTCAGGTTCCTCCCCACCCCGTTGAGAGCGCCCATCGACATAGCCAGAATGAACACGCGACGAACACCGTTTATGCCATGTCACACCGGATCGCATGCCGAAAACTACACGAGCAAGAGCACCGTGGTACCTAGTCGGGCCCCGCCCCCACAGCGAACAAATAGTTTGTCGCGTGGGCCGCATCTCTTACAACTACCGTCTCATCGAACCTGCACATACGGTTCATCACGTCCAGTGATTTTCCCTTGGTCGCCTTTGTCGCATTGGTTGCTCTGTGAAAAGATAAAGTGTGGATGCGCTTGCCTACAGAGATGCGAAGAGCGCACCAATTTCGGTAACCCATCCTCTGTCTTTGCCACTCGCACAACCAAGGCATGCAAAACACGAGTACGCCCACACACACCCCCCTCCCCCCCTCATCCTCCCTATCTTGACATGAAGCGGTCGCCCCGGTGGTCTAGTGGGTAGCCTCGCAGCCTGCTAAGGGCCAGGTCATGGGTTCGAGTCCCGACAGAGTGAGCTTTCTCTCGCTTATTAAATCCTGGTCTCCGTTGGAAGCGACGCGCTGCAAAGCTCGTTGTTAGTAAACTTGATCGACTTCGTAAGTCGCGAGGGAAGGGGTTGCTGTACCCTTCTCGCGATATAAATATANTCATGGGTTCGAGTCCCGACAGAGTGAGTGTTTTCTCGCTAATTAAATCCTGGTCTCCGTTGGAAGCGACGCGCTGCAAAGCTCGTTGTTAGTAATCTTGATAAGACTTCGTAAGTGGCGAGGGAAGGGATTACTGTACCTTTCTCGCGATAAAAATATCTCAGGCAGGAACCGCAGGAGGGGGTCCACCCCCCCTCCTATGTGACCCAGGTTGGGTCGTCTAGCTGGTAGAAGTGGAGGATAGGGGCCAGAGGGGCAGACGACAGAGTCCAATGATGGGAGCAAAAAAAAAATAAAAAAAAGGAAAAAAAAATGTACATACCTTCGCCAGTGCGTGCTCCAGCGTCGCGGTGCGGACCATGAGAGTGTCGAGATCACCCTGCACGGTTGAGCCGCACGCCGCCTCGAGCCGCAACTTGTCCATCTGGGTCTCCTTCGCGTCTAGCTCCTCCCGGAGGCTCCGTATCGTCGCC